CCACTGCAAGGCACTATGGTCACTTCTAATGATAAAACTTCTGTTAAAAAAGTAAGTATGGAAGTGTCCAAGGGATGAGTAACATTCCACTTCTTTTTCTATCTGTACGTTTGCTATAATAGCCGCAGGCTGCAGAGTGTAGTGTAACAATATTATGTCAACCTGAGAATTACATATTTTCAATTTATTGCTTTCCTGTAAAATTTACTATTTGCTAGTTATGCCACTTCGTGATAAGAGCGACGATATGTTCACTAATTTGAATTATTTATTTATACTCTTTTTGATTAAAACCAGTATTATTGTATGTTAAATAAAAATTAAATGAACATATTGAAATGAAAATGTTTTTTCTCATGTTTCCTTATATATACTGGTAAAGTAGCAGAAAAAAATCCAATGCCGCATCTCTTTAACTTGGCCGAAATAAATCAGATCTAATCTAAAAAGGAGACCGCTTAAATAAAGTTTCTTTTGACCATTGATCTACGAGCCACGTGCCGACCGTGTTATATATAAATAAGCCATCGCACAGTGGAATGAACATTCCTTAGACGTTTCAAAAATATGCTCCTTGGTTAATTTTTTAGATAGATATTTAATATTTTGTATCCTTTTCTATGCCGTATTGCCGGCTCTGCCACGAACTCATCAAATAAAGGATGTGTAAAGAGTAGACATTAATGGACAATGGATCAATACACTTTGCACTAACATTCTATTTTTCTTAAACTATGCTATGAAATCAGGAATTATTTTTATTTAAAATTCAGCCTACTTACTAAACTTATTATAAGTTTTAAAAAAATTGCTTGTGACTGTCCCTTCTTTTGGCCACCCGCGTGTGGTGCACTCGCTGCACAACTGCTAGAAACGGCTCTGAGACAAAGATAGAACAGTGCGCGCCAACCCAATGTGGTAGAAATGTCTCTATCTGTTCAATCACGACAGGCTGATGAGTCTTTCCTTATTTCGCTCAGATGCAAATATAATTAAGCGTCTCACCTTTATTTCGAATGATTCATGGTTAAACATGTATATCAGTCAAAGTGATTTCGGATTATGTTGTAGTACTGAGAGGTAAGTACGGCAGAAATAGCTAAAGTCGCCAATATCATATGCGCAGTAAATAGAAAAGCGGAGCCCAGTTCGTTCCGGTTTTTTGGGGTAATTACTTGGATCTGAAAACACGACAGGGGAAGTTCTGCATTTTGAGCCGTCGCGTGTCGCCAAATATAAGTGCAGTAAAAAATCGTGTTCTAAATGCACAATGTAGTACAATTATACAATGTTCCACGCAGCAGGAAGTAGATGCAAATAAACTTATTATCGAATTTCATAAAGGTAGGGCAAATATAATAATACCCAGTTTTAAAGATTCTTACTCTTTTATAATAGCTACTTGTTTTGTATGTTTACAATTGTTATATTTTATATTATAATTTATTTAATGAGCCATACACGGAAAATATAAATCAAATAAGATTTTTTTTTTAATTACGTCCAAACGTACATTTCGTCAACATCGAGTGATCATTTTTCTCTTTTTTTAGTAAAATAAATCAAACAAAAGTATAAGTCAAACTTAATATAAATAAAATTTTAATAAAATGAAGGAGACACCGATCTGTAGCTGAAAGCTATACTTACTAAACATTTATTTCATTTGTTATTAATATACGAGTATTTATTTAGTGTTTAATTTCGATCTTATTAAAGACGAACATACATATATTTGAGCAGTTAGATTTCTTTCTTTGTTAACACCTAAATTGTTGGATAGGCCTTGGCAGTGATGAGAGTAAAGACATGTCAGTCTTGTACTGATTAACCATGTTCGGAAAATATGTCTATATATATATAATTGTCCGGTAACAACCCCACTTTCGCCCTAGGTGATTTACGTTGAATCAGTCAGGCATAACATTTTCTTTAACAATAATTAGGCATTCCAAACAAAATGGCTGCCGGTTTGAAATGACAGGCACATTATAGGTTATAATATGGCAACACTGTGAGACTGGTGGTTTGCTAGGGTCAATGCTATAGGCAGTTTTATATAGATTGATCATCCACGGTTTCAAAAATAAACATAAGCTTATGCCTTGAAGTAAAAATGTAGGCAATTATTATTTTTTAAATATTCAAAGGCTAAAAATTGGTTTTAAAACACATTTTTGGTAAATCGATTCGAATTAATGAACAATTGCCAGGGTTGCGGTATCTAAACTGTCAGATCCCACTGGTAGCCATTTAGACTGGTCATTAGAATACCCAATTGTGTTTTTTTCTGAGTAATTTTTCCTTTCGTTCCCATATGTAACTACATAGGTATTCATAATTTTCATTCTTTAATTAATTATTAGTTAAAATTTAAAAAACAAAAATTATGAGAAATGCTGCAACTCTTATTATGATTCATGCAACATTATGTTGTAGCAATAACAATCCTAATCAATAATTCTTTATGACGGCGGAATATCATTAGGATATTTTAATTTGATCTTCAAGAACATCAAATACCGGTGTTTTTTTACCGGTAACGTTCTTTAAATGTTAAATACTAGAATGTCACAACCTTGAGATAGCACAGTTAAAGCAAAATGATGCTAAAGCTATTTTTCTTCAGTTTTTTATTACTAAATATCAATAAGTTACAAGGTACGGTTAAAATTAAATGTTTTAAATTTTTTTAAAGCAAATTTCTTGATATTTAATATTTTAGTTGTATTTGCCTACTTTTGAACGAATTTGGTTTATTGGTTTATTCTGCAGTTAGGTTAGGTTGAAAGTGAGTGGGATGATTAAATCACCTTAAACTGCGACCCAGATGGATCTATTGTGCTCAAGCCTAAATTATAGTTCACTACTATTTTTGATGAAGCCCATGGTTAAGTTATTTAGATGATACTTGGATCCAAGGCCAAGCAGTTACATAAAATTTGCTCCGCAGATTCGTATTCCACAATCACGAATCGATAGTCTGAAGTTTGTTGCTGACCAATTCTTCTCAACTGATTACTTAGACAACAATGTCCTCTCATCAGTGCCGTAAGAATATCTAGATTTGGTTAGATTTGAAAGGAGTTGGACATTATTGGTCCTTGTCCACCGCTACCTTTTTAGATTTATTGTTAGACTCTGTTTTTTTTAGAGTATGTCTTCTAGCTTGTTCTTTTTTATTAGACTTAGTAGCTGTGACAGTGGCTCCCGCATGTAGTTCCATACGTCTGGATTTTCCTCGCCTAATGTAAGAAGCCTTAATCTAGTCAGACTTTCACACAGGCACATAACGTAGATTGATATCTCCTCTTATTTTTCACAGAACCTGCATAATGTTGCATCTTCTGCTGGATTACTGACACTAATGTGCCTTCTTAGGCGACAGTGTCGGGTAAGAAGACCTACTGTTATCAGATTTGACTTTTTTGATCCAGTATGTATTTCGTGAACTTGGCCGATGAGACTCGTTTTGCATCCATTGTTTGATTGATTATATATTGTATACCTTAGCAACTCCACAGAAGGGTTCGGGGCTTACCATGGCCTTATCTGAGCCTTCTCGGGCTAATTCGTCAGCCTTCTCGTTGCCCTGATATCCCTTGTGGCCTGGAACCCAGGCTAAAGTCATCTTCTTTTGACTACTTAGCTCTGCGAGGTCTTCTAGGCAGTATTTCACCTGTCGTGATTTGATTTCTGGTGAGATAGAATTGCCTGTAGAGTACATGGCAATAAAAAATTTATACTGCAATCGAATCTAAGTAGAGGCGTTCATATGGTTGAGTTTGATGTAAACGCCTTCAAATTCTGCACATATTTTAAGTCTCTTGAGACTTGTAATGACAAATTCAATGCTAATCGTATAATAAACGTTTTTCTTTTTTTTTGGCTCTTTCTTGTTTAAATATACTTATACAATACTTATTTTTTCGTGTTAGGCATACGACTAGTATATAAGTTAATAAAATGGCAACAGGCCAACAGCCAGTCGTTGGCTAAAATTAGAAGATATGGTGGTGGGGTATTAGCCGAATGTCAGTCACTAAGCCAGAGAGCATACCGTTAGCGGAGATATCGTAGTTGCCACATGTTGGCTGTGAAAGCACGGATATGCCTAATATAAAATAATAAGTACTGTATTTATAATATTATGTTTGCCTGCTTTCATTAAATTTAAAAAATATTTTATGCTTCTAATCCTGGTAAGTGTGGTAGATATAAAAGCAGTTTAAATATAAATTCTCATAAATAAAAGTTAATTAAATAAGTCTTCTGGTGATTTTTATTTTACCTTCCTTTCTTTCTCATATTCTTCTTCCTTGAATTCAGTTCTGTTCCTGGACTCACGCTTTTATTTTTTTTCTATTCCTGGTTAGTGTTTTCATCTCTATTAAAGTTTTCCCTTATTAATTTCTATCTCTTTAATCTGGTTAATCAATTTTCTCATGTGCCTTCCTCGTTACCTTTTTTTGTTTCCCTAGTTCAAATTTTTTATAGGATGTTACCTTAAAATAGTATACATTAATTCACGAATGAATAAAAAATATTTTTTTAGCTGAGAGAATTCTAACAATCGAGACGAAGCCGAATTAATGATTTCGAGTTTCAATAAATGATTTTCGACAAGTAAAACACTATACATTTTTTTGTATAAATTCCATTACACGGTAAATAAAAAAACAAACCAGACAATTAGATGTAAGTTGTTTCAAATTCTACAATATTTTTATAACTTTACTAATACTGCCAAAATATTATAGGTGTATAATATGAGAAATTTTGCAACAACTCACTTTCGTCACTAGAGAAGAAAATTAACGAATAGGACCTTCTTTCACTAGTGACGGAAATCAAGTTTTTGCTAGAAGTATCTTGTATCTGAATGTTGCCTTTTTTAAGGAGTCGTAGAAAAAACAGTTATTCTTGTATTTTGCAGTTTTAACTACTATAGTAATAGTATCTGTGATGATTTTTTTAACAGGATTTGTTTTTTTTTACAGATCCAGGACTTCCGATTCTTGTGTCCCAACGGTACAGCATTTGATCAAGATCATCAAATATGTGCGGAGTGGGAAGACATAGATTGTGATGCCAGTACTCTTTATTATTCTAGCGACAACTTCGATTTATACCGTCTAGGATCAGGTGAGTTTTAAACTTTAAAGAAACACACAAAATACTTTTAGATACACAGAACATGTTTTAATCTTTAACAGAATAATAATTAATCATAGGCTAACTGAACATTTTGTGTCCAACTAAATGTTAAGTCCAAGACTGCAAATTACAGTCAAAATTTAAAGTCGCTACAGCACATGTATTCATGAAAAAAACCTTAGAAATAGGCCTTGGAATATGATAATAAATGTCAGTTTGACAATTTACGTAGACAGTTGATGGTATATGAAAAACTTTTTTATTATTAATATTAGAAAACAAAGTTATTCTTCATAAAAAGTCGAGCATGGTCTAAGACTTAAAATACAACCATCGAAAATCAAATTTTATCAGTCGTATAAGAGGTTTGTCAATAATAAAGGCACTTTACTATTCAACAAGCCTCATATTTTTTGACAAACCTCGTTTACGGCTTAAAAAATTGATATATGATGGTTGCATTTTTAGTTTTGGACCACGCAGACTTTTTATCAAGAATACATTTTCTCACAAAACTAATAATAAAAAAGTTTTCCATATGGTTCCAACTTAGTAAAAGTATATAAAAAAATGTTTCGAGAAAGATGTACGTGGAAAATGTAGCACCATTAATTTGTACTTCGTTCATAACATTCTTCATAGTTTTTTTGCTCCATGTTTGCCTTTTCGTTTTTCGAACATAACCTCGACTCATCTTGCAACCTAGACCACTAAATAATACCTATTTTAATAATTAAGGTTCACGTGTTAGAGGTAAGATGACGAAGTTCGTCATCTTAGCTACTTTGTTGTTTGTCAACTTACCTAATCTCATGCGATCAGTAATATGTAGCCATCTCACATTGTAGAAGACTCTTTTTTCAAAACAATCATTCTATCATTGTGCACATTCAGTAGGCATGGAGTGTAGCCATTTCTCGATCTTAATACGCTTTGTTTAATAAAAATGTGCAATTCATCATCTTATCCAGTTCGTCATCTTATGGCCCTTTGCCCTACCTACTACTTGTCTGTGTCTATAATAAAAAATAGGGTTTCAAAAACTAACAAAAACTTTAAATTAAAACATAAACATCCAAATAATTAATCAAACACAGCAAAAAATCTATGTAATGTATATGCTGTTGATTGCCGACTTCCATCACAATGATAAGATTGGTGACGACATGATAAAATATGCTTCTTCGTAAACATTTATATTCTAAGGAAAACTCCGTTTTTTCTTTCTGTATGGCTGTAATTTTAAATATTACGCATCTTTTGAAAAATAGTTTCGTATAAACAATTCGATATGATGACATTTATTTAGCACAGATAGCATCTGCTTATTTTACCCGGTTGGAATCATTAAATCATTATTACAGTACTTTATCATCAAGTAAGGCAAACGCTCGTTATTTTATTTCATCATAAAATTACACGTCAAGACTGTAATTTTTCGCAAGACTAGTGAAATGATCCTTCCTTTTGATTTGATGTTAAACATTACAAAGAATTGTAGTACGATAGGGTTTCTATCAGGATGTTATAAAAATATAAATTATAGTAATTTTTAATGGATATACTTTAAGGAATAATTAACACCCGTTTTTAGGCGAGAGTGACATTTTTACAAGCAATCAAATGACAAGTTTTAATAAACAAACACCTGTTTCACTTGGAAACATCATTTTCTTGGCCATTCTATAATGAGATACGCTTTCATAGTGCAATAAGTCACCATGTAAATAAAATAGCCTAATATGTAATCAGAAAATATAAGTCTACTCATGATTACAAAAATATACAGGGTGCCCCATGAAAAAATAGAAATTATATTTTGTTGGAGGCGTTCTGTATATACAATTCTGCAAAATATTAAATTTTTAATCGGTACAGATAAAACAATAAAGCTTTTATAGTGTGGAAATACTATTCTTCGCGGTAATTTCACACTGTTTAGTGCATCGAATAAATTGTCGTATAACTTTTAGTACTAATTTAAATACAATATTATATTTTAAGGACATACCAATTTAACTAAATAGTTCGTCCAAATACTAAAAAAATTAGTTAATTTAGAAAAAAAGTAAAATGATTTATAACTTGTGCTAGATATATAAAAGAGAATAGAAAAAAAAATTAAAATCAGTTACTTGATTTAAAGTATTAACATTTCAAATCTTTACATTTAATTTATTTTGATATTTTTGAAAATTACAAATAATAAAATGGACAGTGATAGTAATAATAGTAGTGATAATGATACTGCACCACATATTAAAGAAATAGAGAATAACATTACAGAAGGCTTATTGCCTCAAACATGGGCGAAAATATAAAACTTAGCTTATTCACGATCTATGAATTGGCGCCAACAAAATAATGTGAATTCCATTTCAGAAAATATTTTAATGGATTATTTTTGGGAGCTATCGAAGCCTTTTAAATCTTCTACATTATTGTCAGTTTACTTAATGTTTAACAAAAAAATCGAAAATCACAACTGGGGTATGCTACAAATTCCTAAAGTAAGGTAACAAAAAATAAATGAAATTTAGATTAAAGAAAAAAATAAAAAATAATGCATATTTACCACTTCTTAATATTTTTAATTTTAAATCGTTAGTAAAGTTCATCAAATTATTTTAAAAAATGTGTAATTTAGGTCATTGTGGTCATAGAAAAAGTACAGTATGCCACTCGTGCAAAAAACCTATTCCACACATCATGGGGATTTCGTTACTTGTAGCACAATATATTTGATAGATATAAATTGCGATTGTTCTGACATAATTAAATTTGATATGCAACATTGGTGTGCTGTTCTAGCGGTATAAATATACAAAATTTTTGACAAAAAATAATTACAACAAATTTAGAGAAATATTGATTTTATTTTTAATTTTTTTAATAGTTAAATTATAGCAAGAAAATTGATTTTTAAATCGTTTATTAAAAATACGTTTTAATATGTAAGACTTTATTCAGCATTCAGGACCGGTTTCCGAGGTATTCAGTAAAAAACAAATTAGTTCCATTTCTTTATTCCACAACAATACGCTTATTTTCAAAAATAGACAATAGTATTCAAGGATGTTTCTTTATATCAAAGTTGTGAATCTAAGAGCTTACTTAATTTTTCTCTCCGACGTTTCGTAAATGAAGGATCATTATCAATTTTTTTATTTGAATATGAATCAGTATTATGGTATTATTCTAACAGATCATATTAATGCATCTTCAATTTTGAAGACATATTGACTTAGTAACATTTCAGAAAATTTGAACATCATCGAAGTTTAGTAGGAAAATGTTCCTAATATTTTGTTTTTTGAATGTCCTCAGATTTGGCTTCAAAATATACAATAAATGCAATATTAACAGTACGCTGTAATAGAATATATTTCGTGGTAAGCTAAAAGAGGTATTTAGGAATTTAACACCATTTTAAAAGTCAATGCATTATAAGAAGCGAATTAAAGAACTTAATACCTTGAATTTTCAAAAAGGCAGTATAAATAAAATATAACTAATTATTGCTTCTAAAAGATAAATATCTTTCTGGATTATATTTAATTAGGAACCAGAAATGCATAGGAATTTTTGTTTTTCCCATGGAAATGTAGGTTTTTTAATAAATTGAAATTCAAGTAATTGAACAAAAAAAAATAAGTAGAACAAATTACTTATTTTCGCTAATGTGGCGAATCTGGGCAAAGCACTCGAAAAACGTGCTTCGGGCACCAAGATCGAGCCCTTTGGAAAAGTAGTTGCTAGAATCAATCAGCAAGCATTTTGAAAATTCTAAGTGCTTGTAATTAGCAATTACCGAGAAAATTATTTGAACAATTTAATTACCAAATACCGATTACTCAAAAATTGCTTGAAATCATTGTTGATTACTTGCAGGTATTTGCAAAAACGTTGTTTTTAAATAAATTACCAAGCACTTGCTACTTTTCAAACTGCTTTCTCCCCAATTTAGCAACGTGTTTATATTAAAAATGAACCAAATTAAATACTAACGTTATTGGATGATAATAATAATCAAACCAAAGTTTGTTCTTAATTTATTAGTCTACACTTACTACATGACACAAAACACAATAAAAATTAGGAAATCTATAGGAAACAAAAATAAGAAAAAATTATCTGCATGAAGGAGGAAGATAGGCAGTGATAATAACAGTTAATAAACAAGAATCTGGAGCTGTAATGATTTTTTTTTATTTAGACTAATTGATAAGTTATTGTATGTTGTGTGTTGTCATTGCCAGGCATTTAGTAAATTAGTAATTATGATCAAGTAAATAAAAATATGAAAACAATATTTTTTTAACTAGTCGTTACAACAATTTATAAAACATTTATTCACAAAATATTAACAAATAAGTACTTATGCCTTTTAAAGTGCTTGCAAGCTCTTTCAAGGTAATTACTGCCCAGCTCTGTAATGTGGCAATTCTTTATAAGGAAAGAAAACTCGAAGTCATCTGCCACAGAATTTTATTGTTTTACAAACGGCGACTAGTTTCGGCCTCTGTGGGCCATCAGCAGGTCCAAAAATGTGGATTACAAAGTAAGGTTACAAACGGGTTATGTAAAGACCTAAAATTATCTGATGAGATGTGGTAATTGATAATTTTTTAAAATGGTAATAGGATACTGGAAAAACAAGTAATTAACTAGAACTCATGTATAAAGTATCTATTTTATGCTTACTTTATTATAAAAACAAAAACTTTGACAAAAAAATACTAGGTATAAACATTGCAGTATAAAACTAGAATGAAGATATATAATGCTTGGCATTCTATACCTATTATACTCTTCACAGATTTTTTTTTAGAATTAATGGGCTTCATCCCCTTATAAAGCTTGTTTTTTCCTGAAGATGTTAATTTGATACCGTTTCTTGCTTCTGAGTCATTAGACTTTGTCTCCTTATAGAGCTTGATTCTTGCTAAAAAATTTCAAATTCATATCATTTTTCCTTTTTGAGTTTA